CAAACCGGCAGGCAACACCCACGCTATTCGCCGTGTATTTGAATGTCTGAATCTGATTCTTTGGATTACACAGCACAAACTTACGAATGACTTTTGCATCTGCCGCGTCAGGCTCAAATCTAGCTAACTGTGCAGATGCCTCACGCTTACATGAAGTTTTGCTCACACGTGGCTTCAGCGAGAACCAAAGCCTTAGGACGTGGTGGCAGCTTCGATGTTCGAAACAATGCCATGTCCTGTATTTTTTTGCATAAATCAACCTTGCTGCGTTGTTTCAGCCGTAATCGAACCGATTGCGACCAACCTGCATGCCAGTGGCACGCCGACGCATGTCTGCGTGGAATCGGGATATAGGGAGCAAACTCGGCACATAAAGTAAATGCTACATCAAGATGAACTGGATGGCGAGATACTGTTCTGGGTGCCACACTTCGCCGACGACAAAACCAATCATGTACAGAAATGTTGCGATCTCTGCGACATGGAGGTAGTGGTGGTAGTAGTAGAGGTAGTCGTAGTAGTAGCAGCAGTAGAAGTAATCGTGGCGGTGGAAGTAGTAGTAGCAGTAGTAGTAGTAGTAGTAGTAGTAGTTGTAGTAGTAGTAGTAGTAGTAGTAGAAGTCGTAGTAGTAGTAGTAGTAGTAGTAGTAGTAGTAGTAGTACTAGTACTAGTACTAGTACTAGTACTAGTAGTACTAGTAGTAGTAGTAGTAGTAGTAGTAGTAGTAGTAGTAGTAGTAGTAGTACTAGTACTAGTACTAGTACTAGTACTAGTACGTAGTGGTGCTGATGGTAGTAGAAGTCATCATCATGGCAGGATTATCGTAGCAAGAACCGAAAGCCTTCTCACTGAACACGGGGCATTTGCCGGCGCTGTTCCTTTTCTGGGCTTTCGTGAACCTGCCCCAAAGCTCCGAAGGGCTTTGCCAAATGCCGAGGCTTCAACCCTTCAAACTATGTTGTCTGAGCCTCGACATCTGGACTCTGCTCTTTCCCCGCCAACAAGACCTTTATGACAGGTACTACAGAACATGAAAAAACCTCATGACACCTCTGGGTCCTCGGACCAGATCTTGCGAGCAAAGCGTCTACCAGAGCTGGTTCGCTTGGTTCTTCCTCATCCTCGGACTCCTCTATCGCAAGGGTTCTTGTGGTCGATGGCTTAGGGCTTTCAGGTCCGGGGATCAGGATACTGTGGGTGAATGATGACCTAATTATTCCTAGAGCGGGTATATCAAAAAATGAACTTCAATCATACAGACATACACATGTCCATGTTTAGCAGTAGTAGTAGTAGTACTAGTAGTAGTAGTCGTAGTCGTATTGGTAGTGGTAGTGGTAGTGGTAGTGGTAGCCGTAGTCGTAGTCGTAGTAGTAGTAACAGTAGTAGTAGCAGTAGCAGTAGTAGTGGTAGTGGTAGTGTTAGTGGTAGTGGTAGTGGTAGTAGTGGTAGTAGTAGTAGGCCGGTGCCCCTTTCTGGACCCACCCCCCGTGCATGTTTGAAGCCACGTTTAGTCATGACTGTCAGATGTTGACGATGATGAGGAAGATGATGTTGGATGTTGGGACTGTCAGATGATGACGAAGATGATGTTGGATGTTGGGGGGGGGAGGGGGGGGCTTAATGACGTCCGGTTCGGTATGCGTCTGGAACATGCATGTTTGAAGCCACGTTTCGTCATGACTGTCGGACGCTGACGATGATGAGGAACATGATGTTGGATGTTGGGGCTGTCAGATGCTGACGATGATGACGAAGATGATGTTGGATGTTGGGGGGGAGGGGGGGGAGGGGGAGGGCTTAATGACGTCCGGTTCGGCATGCGTCTGGAACACTGCATGCACTGCTGACAAAGAGTGAATGTGTTCGGTTCGCAGGAAAGCACATTCATCCTAAGTCCATTTGGCATGTGGACGGAGCACAAGCTTACCCTGCTGCTCTGAAGCATGCTTTTGGTGCCAAGATGGATTCCGTGAACCATTCGAGGCCTCAGAAGAAAAGAGGACCTCAGTGGACGAAGTTCTGCAAGCACAAGCTACCCTCAAAGGGTCTGTGGTCTGGACAGTCTGTAGACGTGGATGAAGAAAAGTCTGCACGGGGTTTCTGCTCAGCGCAAAAAAGCCGTTGAGCTTCGGGTCCGTGAGCTCCAGTGGAAGCACTGGAATGCGCAGCAAGACCTGTGGCGTATGATCGGAGACGTCATGCGCCACAGCGACATGCAGGAGGGGTAAGGAAAAAAAGGCGTCATCCGTGTGGTTCAAAACGCCAGTTTTAAGCCCAAAATGACTGTTTTGGAGACCCCAGGTGGTCACCCAAAACGAGGTTTGGCAACTCCATGGACAAGTGCACTCAAGTATGGAAACATACGGCAAAACCAGTACTTTCAGCACTTGCAGCAAGCAAAGCAAATTCCGATTCATCTTGAAAGGTGGGTCCACCGCGGGGCTCCGGGCTAGTAGTAGTAGTAGTAGTAGTAGTAGTAGTAGTAGTAGTAGTAGTAGTAGTAGTAGTAGTAGTAGTAGTAGTAGTAGTAGTAGTAGGAGTAGCAGTAGCAGTAGCAGTAGCAGCATCAGCGGCAGCAGCAGTAGCAAACCCTCTACAATACGCATTCCTTAGCAGATGAAGGGACTAAGTTAGCAGAGTTACGAATGATGCAAGCATAGCACTTGAATTTCATGAAAATTCTTAGGACACTACATACTATGACCTCTGATCCTGCGAAATAAAATGAAACACGACCATCGCTTTAGTCCTCGAACTGCAAAGATCGCTGAGGTTGCAGAGATCGCTGAAACTTGTAGGTCTTCCGACTCCCCTGCGACTTGAAGTTGACCACGTTCGCGGGCGCCTGGAGTCTAATTGTGGGGGCCTTCATAGTTAGAATGGGGCTTTAGGGGTATATTATGCTATGATTATAATAAGGAGCCCCCAAAATAGTATAAGGAATTATCGAGGTCTCTATAAGGGATTCGGCTTTTGGGCTCCTAGGCTACAGCTGTACGCCCTTTGATTAAACCTACAAAATAAACATGCTTTCTGAACAGCCCCTTGGTTTTACATTTTAGCCTTAACACAGACATGAAGCAGAGCCCATGCATTGCTTGAGGTTAGGGCATGCAGGTGTCAGGCTGGGCCTTGAACGGTCGACGGGTGATGGCTTGGGCTTTTCTAAACGTTAGGTTAAGGGTTTCTTCCTAGTCTTGAACCTTATTCCCCTCGTAACTTGATCTTCACTTAGGCCCGCCCCAAAAATCACACAATGATATGCAAAAGGGATCTGCTTTTGCGTTTCTGACTGCTCTACACTTTCATGGCCTTTCCGCGTGCCAAAAATAAAGTGCTTCACAAGTCACAAACTACAGGGCCAAGCCCGACATTTCAATGATCGCTCGACCTCAAGCTGCAAAGTTGGAACATCATTATCCTCATGCCCTAAGGCAAAGTCTAGGGAATCCTAGCCCGAATCATCCGATAACTCAGTGTTCCAACTGTTTTGAGTTCACCCTAGCTCGAAACCGAAAGAGTGTGAACATCGCAGCGTAGGAGGTGCGATTAACTGAAGCGTGTCATGGCCCAGACTTGCATCCTTTGCAGATGTTACATCCGGGGCTAAACGCCTTGAGCCCGTAACTTCTCCTCCCTAAACTCCGAAACCCCTGACCTCGCGTCCTTCAACCCCCTAAACCAAAAAACCGCTTATCCCTAGCCCCCTGAACCCTAAACCCCAGTTCCTTGAAGGCTACGAATGAGCCTCTTCCCTGGCCGAGTCCATTCTCGTTCGGAGGGATCCATCAAGCAGACGGCCCCAAACGCTGCATTACTTCGGCTGTAGGGTTTGGGATTAAGGGTTGAGGCTTTAGGGCTTCGCGTGTAGAGTTTAGGGTTTGGGGTTCAAGGTGTGCGATTTAGGCAACCTAGGAGTTACAAGTTCCCCGCTGCCGAAACTCTCTCGGGATTAAGGCTTGAGGCGGCTTCAGTAAGGTTTACGGCTTAGGGCTTAGGGTTTGGGGTTCGGGAGACAGGGTGTTGTGAGGGTGTGAAGCTCCGAAAGAGATTGCAGGCGATGGGAAAGCTCTGTGCACGCCCTGGAATGCATACATATACGTTCGTGCTGAATACAACATAGACGTACATTATATACTTGCAAACGCTATTTTCGTCTTGACTGTTGAGCAGGGTTTCAAGCCTTTCAAAACGGTGATGCTAGGATACTGCCCCCACTCAGTGATAGTTGAATAATATTCATAATATAGATATATTAGGACCCCAATAGTAGCCCTATTATAGACTCTTACTGTAAGGGGGCAGTATCTAAGGTCTAGAGATTCGGATATATATATATATATATATATATATATATATATATATATATATATATAATATATATATATATATATATATATATGAGGACCCTAATAGTAGCCCTACTAAGTCTGTTTATGGTGGTCGTTGTTCCAGCTTTCGGGCCGATGGAGCCAGCGGGAAATAGCTTTCGTTGAGGGGCGGCGTCCTCGGGGTCAGCGACTACTTAGAGGATCATGGGACTTAGTAACTAGGGTTCCTTAAAGGGCTCCTTTAAAGGGATCTATAGGGGTTCTAGTATAGGAGGGGATTCAGGGTCTACTTAGAGGATCATGGGACTTAGTAACTAGGGTTAGAAGTAAGGTAACTATACTTATGACTACTTATATCCCCAATTAAGGTACTTATAACCTTACTTACTAAGTCCAGCGATCCTCCAAGTAAAACGACCTGCGCAGGCGGAACGCCCACAGCAGCAAAATCACGACCACATCTCATATCGCGGAAGCGAAGCATGACGAGCCAAAGCCTTGCAGGGCAGGCCCGGATACCTTGCTCCTTGCAAAGCACTCCGACGCCCTTCCTTGCATCCTAGGTCCTAGCTCGCAAGGACGAGATCAAGAAGGGCAATATTCTTGACACCCAAACCTAAAACGCTTATGGCCGAAAGCTCCATAGGCATGCCATCTCTTTTTGCCTTAAGTCGGCTTGCCAATGCCAGCTGAAGCCGTCCTTGCAGAACAACAACAGGCACAAGGGTATGATTCAGCAAGATCCCCTCTGCAAACCAGCTATGGGCAAACAATGACCACTCCTGTAACTGCTGCAATTGCTACTGAACTACAAGTACCTTCTTTCTCTGACTACTGCTAGACGACGACGACGACTACGACTATGACTACCGCTACTACTACTACTACTACTACGACGACGACGACGTCGACGACTCCTGCTCCTACTCCCACTCTTACTTCTGCTGCTGCTCCTCCTCCTGCTACTACCACTGCTGCTGCTCTACCACTGCTACTACTACGACTACTACTACTGCTACTATATTGCTACTGCCACCACCACCACCACCACTACCACTTTCCCAGCAGGTTTCAGCGTAAAAGAGTTTGAGCCGACCGAACTTAAACCACAGCACAAAGCTAGGTGGAACAAACGGATAGCTCCTCAATGCCTTGCAGCGCACATCCTCAACCCAGAAATTACTAAGCTGAGCCCTTTACCCTAAAACCGAAATCCTCAACCTTACGTATCCGCAGACCATCAACACCAACCGTCCTCAACTCGCACACAATCTGGAGCCCGGAGAAGCTCGTAGACGCCCAGAAGTTGCAAACACAAAAACCCTAGACATATAACCCCTAACCAAGTTTCAGCACGGACTGAGGTGCCGGCCAGCTCCCACGAAACTCGCAGCCCCTTTTTAAGGCAAGAGTTTTTGCCCCGAACCCCTAAACCCCAGCCCTTGCTGAGAATCCGCACGGCCCAGAGGAAGGTGTTGTGCTACCGACCCCGGCCTCTCGTCGCCGGCATTACTCGGATTTAAGGGTCCGGGTAATGGATAGTACTTTATAATTCCCATATACTTTTAATATGTTTTAAAATAACTAAATAATATGAAAATCAATTGATATATACCCTAAACCCGAGGCTTAACGTTTCGGAGCCAGAGTCCCAAGGTTACTAGGGTTTAGGGTTTAGGATTTTAGGGTTTCAGGGTACTGTCTAGGGTTTAGGGTTTTAGGGATGTAGGGGGTCTTGGGTAGAGGGTACTGGGGTCTGGGGACCAAGTTTGGTTTTGGGTTCTGGCTTAGGTCGCGGTTCGCCTGGCGCAGAGTAGCACGGCTTGTATGTAACGATGGCATATGGGACTGAAGGCAGCATAAGTTCGCCTAAACCCTAACACCCCGCAAACCGTGAATCCTAAACCTTTCGAAACCCTAAGGCCCCCTAAACCCTAAACCCTACTAAATGTAGGAACCTGACTAAGAAACCTTGGGCATTTATTCGGGTTCCTTATATGAATCCTAGTATTTTGGGGTTATAGGCCCAGGGTTTCTTAATCAGGCTCCTACATTAAATCCTAAACCCTAATCCCTAAGCCCTAATCCCTAAACCCTATTCCCTAAACCCTGAAAACCCTAGTCCCTAAAACCTAATCCCTAAACCCTAAAGCCTAGTCCCCAAACCCTAAACCCTAATCCCTAAACACTACACCCTACTAAATCCTAAATCCTAAACCCGAAGCCCATGGGGCCCTGCCTCTACCTCGCCGCTGACCTCGCCTCGCTGCAGCCGCTCCAGCCTCACCAACGCATCCTTTTTGTTTGTTGTTTCAAAGGGCTCCTTTTCGATAATGCATCGGGTTTAGGATTTAGAGTTTTGGGTTGGTTTAAGGGTTTGGGGTTTGGGCCTTTGGGGGCTTATATAAGGGTTTAGGGTTTAGGGGTTTTGGGTGTTTAAGGGTTTAGGGTTTTGGGGGTTCAAGGGTTTAGGGTTTAGAGTTTTGGGTTTAACGGTTTAGGGTTGAGTGTCGGATTGATTTTCGGGCTTAGGGTTTCAGATTGCGGCTTGAGGTTGGAACCATCCACAAATTTCAGTGTTGCTTTTTGCGCATAACAGATGTGTATATACACATGCACAAGAATGGTTGTTGATGGCGCTGCTGTGGCTGTGGCTGTTGCTGTTGCAGTTTTTGCTGTTGATGCAGCTGCTGCGGTTGCCGCTGCCCTTGCTGTTGTTGCTGTTGATGTTGCTGCTGTTGCTGTTGCCGATGCTGCAGCCGCAGCAGTAGTAGTAGTAGTAGTCGTAGTCGTAGTCGTAGTCGTAGTCGTAGTCGTAGTCGTGGTAGTCGTCGTAGTAGTAGTAGTAGTAGTAGTAATAGTAGTAGTAGTAGTAGTAGTAGTAGTAGTAGTAGTAGTAGTAGTAGTAGTGGTAGTGGTAGTGGTAGTGGTAGTGGTAGTGGTAGTGGTAGTGGTAGTGGTAGTGGTAGTGGTAGTGGTAGTGGTAGTGGTAGTGGTGGTAGTGGTAGTAGTGGTAGTAGTAGTAGTAGTAGTAGTAGTAGTAGTAGTAGTAGTAGTAGTAGTAGTAGTAGTTAGTAGTAGTAGTAGTAGTAGTAGTAGTAGTAGTAGTAGTAGTAGTAGTAGTAGTAGTAGTAGTAGTAGTAGTAGTAGTAGTAGTAGTAGTAGTAGTAGTAGTAGTAGTAGTAGTAGTAGTAGTAGTAGTAGTAGTAGTAGTAGTAGTAGTAGTAGTAGTAGTAGTAGTAGTAGTAGTAGTAGTAGTAGTAGTGGTAGTAGTGGTAGTAGTAGCAGTCGTCGTAGTGATAGTGGTGGTGGTAGTGGCAGTGTCAGTTGTTGCAGCCCCCTAGTAGTAGCAGCAGCAGCAGCAGCAGTAGTTCTTGCTGCTGCTGTTGGTGCTGCAGTTGTTGTTGGTGCTGCCGCTGTTGCTGCTGTTGTTATTGTTGCCGTTGCTGCAATTGCTGCCATTGTTGCTATTGACACTGGTGATACTGATGTTACTGCCATTGCTGTTGTGGTTGCTACGGGTGCTGTTAATGTCGGAAGCTGTTGCTGTTGTTGATCTTCTTCTAACTGATGATATTCTTTATTGTTGTTTTAGTGATTGCTCGTGTTGCTGTTCCTGTCCTGGCTGTTGGAGATGATGTTGTTGATAATGCAGTTGTTCTTGCTGTTGCTGTTGTTGGTGTTGCTGTTGCTGTTGTGACAGCCCCGCTCGAGCAGCTGCAGGCTCAACTTCCATGCCCTCTATTCTTTGCTCTGCCCCGCCACCCCTAAACCCTTATAAACCCTAAACTTCCTAAACTTAAACCCTAAACCCCAACCCTAAACCCTACCGTACCTGAGGTCTTCCTGAGGCCGGCACTCGTTACTGGAAGCCTGGCTGGTACGCCCGGCAGTCGATACTCCTGCCGTTTCCGGATTTTCGTGAGCGGGGCCTTTTGAGACATCCCGTTTCTCTTCTTCTCCAACTTCAGAATACATGCACCCGCATGTTTATATACATGTACATGTATATGCTGTATGTACGCCTACATGTACATTTTCGTGTACTTATATGTGTACATACGTATTGAACATAAACATGTACCATTGCACGTCAAACCTACATATATACATATATATATATATATATATACATACATACATACACATACACCTTTATTCATCTATTTGCTATGTGTTGCAACACTGTCTATAGATGTGTCTGTATATAAAAATAAAAATATATGTGCATCTACACTAGACTTGTAAGCAACTCAGGAGAACTTTCGCTGAGTTGGTCCTGTGTCCATTGGTACGGTACTCTTGCCGGTTCTTCCATAAGCAGCACGAACTCACCCGCGGGCTGTTCGAGTTCTTGTTCACGTTACCCCATAACGTAGAACCGCGCCCTCGCCCTAGACCATAAGCCTACACTTTAAACCAAAACCTTGAGTTGTCATGAGGGCTTCGGGTGTGGGTTCACAGGAATGAAAGCCAAGACGAAAAGTTTTGAGGCTCCTTGACTAAAACCTTGAAACGGAAGTCGTGCTTTCAGCCTGAAGTCCCATGGTGAAAGACCCTCCGAAACACCGCACATTTCTGTTGGAAATTGTGGGGCCAGGTATTCGAAGCTGTGTTTTGCAAATTTCCCGAAAAGAGCGCGCCTGTTGCTCCCAACATGGGAGCAGAGATCGATCCTGAAGCTCTTTGCGGGTTTCGAAGCCCCACCCCCCCCCCGTGCTTAGAGAGTAGACAGCGGCTATGTCCTAAGGCCTAACAGCACCCGAAAGGTTCCAAAGTACCTATATAGTAGAATGTACATTAGGAATTACTACTATAATTTGGGCAAGTATCCCCCATAACAGTACCTAGGACCCTTTGGTAACATCTGCACGCAGGTTAAGGTTTAGGATGCCGTGGGCAGTGATGTTCTTTTCCTGGGAATGTAAGGGCCTTGAGGGCCCAGGAATGGGCATTGAAGACTCATTGACCAGGACCCTCCTTGTACCCTCAAATAGGGGTATATGGTCCCAAATAAGGGGCATTTAGGGTCTAATACAGGGTAGATGGAGGGCCTAGGGAGGTGTGTTATCTTTGGGCTTACCCGGCCTGCATGCCTATGCCCTGGACCTCAACCCATCCGGGGCTCATTCTGGCGTCATGACCTTACGAACTCGTTTTCCCCTTGTTGGCCTTGACACTGGTCCTGTTATAGTGTTGGGTGATCCCCTAGAACACACTTGATTAGGGAATTCGTTCCTCGAAATGTACAGGTGTATATATGACCTAAAGAACATTCCTCAGTTAGGTTAAGGGGTACCGGTAGGTGTGGATGCATGCCGCAGTGCAGGTGCCATGACCATTCGGTAAAGGCTTGGTTTGGAAGGCATGGGGGCGCAATTAGCAAGGAGTGTAAAGCCTAAATCGATACCAATATCACTCCTCAGTATAGCAATACTCTACATGAGCCCAGAACCCTATCTTATTTATTATGGCTCCTATAGTAATCCGACCCCCGAAACTTGTCCTGGATCTTCCGAAGAATCGCTCTTCTTGATGAAGTTGTCCGTAACCCAGAACTGGAAGGCGTTCATGACCATCTGGCAAGCAAGGCGAATGTTTTCTTGCCTCACGTTGAAGGCAAGGGTATAGGAAATAGAGTACTACGGTTGATGATATGAATCCTGCATTACCTTAAGGATCCTAAACTATGGGAATTATGGTATATTCCTTGTTATGGATAATGCAGGATCTATATCATCAACCGTAGTAGGTACTGCGGCTTCTTTGTGGTAGATGCTGAAGGGCAGTTTGAAAAGGCGGTCCTATTGGGATTCTCAGGATGTTTTCATGGCGGGCTTGAGCGAATTCCAACAGGGTTGGGTGGTAAGTTGTAGAGTGTGTGTGTGTGTGTGTGCGTGTGCGTATATGCAAATAAACAAATAAATATATATATATATATATATATATATATAATGTTTGTATATATACACATACACACACATACCTACCCCTACATGCGTACATACTTACATACATACGTACATGCATACATACATACATACATACATACATACACACATACAGACACAAGGTGAGGCAAGTTTCGAGTTTCTATCGTTTCTGCCGACTTTTCGAGTGGTGCTCGCTTCCGCACGAGTGAAGAGGTTTGGTGATGCGGCTGGGCACGGGGCACTTCTCGTTTAGGAGTGGCTCTAGACAACAACGGCACCCAGGTTTGTAGGACACAGGCTCTGTTCCACCATCTGCTGCCAAGAGAGTCTGGCGCCTGTGGTTTATGCCAACCCTTGTCCTCAAGACTGGGGTGCACACAAAACCTCGCAGCACTCGTGCTTACAGTTACCTGCAAGTCCCAACCTACAGGAACGAAACATCACATATCCGGGCTTAGGGCTTCAGGACTCCAACACCTGTGCAAGTCTGAAGAAAAGACACTCAACTAAGCATGCAGTGGGCCGGAGTCGCGATCATCACGACAAGGAGTTTCATCCTTGCAGTGCATTGCGGTAAAGTTTCGCAGCTCAATCTCAGATAGGCCAGGCGAGGTTGTTGGTGCTGAGTCGGATGAGATAAACACTTCCAAGACAGTTCGACACATCTCTGCCGTAGCGTTTGTGGTTGGGGGATTTTCGGCTCCGGGAGTTTAGGGCATGGTTGGAAGTTCGTTGTAGAGGCTTCGGAGTCAGGCTCAAGCGGCTATCCAAAAAGTGCTTGGGCTACCCCTAACCCCCAGGTCTCACTGCCAAAAGATCGTCTGGCTACACACTTCGGAGCAGATCAGCAGATCTAAGCCGTTGAGAGTGGAGTATAGGGGCCTGGCTGGCCTCAAGAATTAACATAGGGTCGTGACTGTAAGCAAGGGACCATGATAGAATAACATTAATTCAACTTTAGGCTCCTATTCTTGGGGACATGCTTGCAATGGGTAGCCCAGCAGTTTCGGCGGGAACCTCCAAGACCCTGAACAGGGCCCACCTACCCTCGGAACCCGAAGAAAATTGACAACACAGCGTCGGCCTGAGCAATTGGAAAGGGCTGTGTTGTGTGGGCTCATACTTTGCTTTGTGTGTATACATATAGACCTTTTCCGGACTACGAGGACACTATCACTGCAGTAACTACTGCGACGCGTTATCTTAAGACCCTTGAGGTGACACCGGTTCTGCAGAGCCCCAAGCTACACGTGCATGCTTTCCTTCTGGCCCGTGAAGCTAAGGCGACCATAGTGCAATGGCACTAAACCATCGTAGAAGCTCCGTCATGTTCCTGATTCCCTGCAGGTGATGCGTAAAGAAACCTGGCATTTACTGTGCAAATCATCACTGGTCCTTGCTCGAATTTTCGAATTTTCTGGGATTCACGGATTCACTGTAAACTTTTTCACCCCAAACCCTAAATCCCAGAGTTGTAGAAAAATCGACGGTTGGACCTGAGCAAACAACCCAGAGCCAGCCATGGATTATCCTACCCCAAAGGGTCCAATGTATCGATATAGTAGAATGTAGGGTTTCCATATTAGGAATTACTATTATGACTTAGGGAAGTATCCCCCGTAACAATACATAGGACCCTTTGGGTACTGCTCTTGCCATCACAGAGACTGTTGTCAATATCAGTCGAAACTGGTTTGCTGCGAGCATGACCGAGGTTTTTGTGACGTTAACGGACACCTTGGCATTCTTCTGGCCGTTGAAAACAAGAGGAGGGAATGATGCGCATTGTGTTGATGTGAGCTTGAATGGTCTGAGATCGGGGCATAGGCTTTTCCAGGAAAGGATTTAGCACCGTCCGCGCTGCCATCGTCAGTGGCTTGGCCAGCAGGACCATCAACACAACCTTTTCTTGCTTGCAGAAACGCAGTGCGCCGAAAGAAGGGGAAGATTTTGCCTGTAAGGGCAACAAATTGCGCTCTTCCGGGTTAAGTTCCAGGTAAGTGCTCCCAAGGGAGTAAACTGCAAATGGAGAGTCTGATTGAAGCTGTCGTGCCGATAGTGTTTGTATGCTGGCCGCCGTGTGCTGCTGGCGTTTGGGTGATGACCAGGCGTACTCGTAACCTCACGGTGATCGTAAGTCTTGCTGTTGCTGCCACTGCTGCTGACTGTTGCTGTCTATATACTGGTTTCATGACAGGCACCCCTGTGCCGGTGTTGCTAGTCTCTCTATACATAGTACCACTTGGGCTGCCGTGGGCCCACGTCTTCCAGTCAAGCTGAACCGAAGATAAAGACTCTGCCAAAGTGTACAGGATATCGCCTCGCGATTGCCACGGGCATACATGTTCTGTTCGTCAGGTTGATGGATGAATGGTTACACCGTAGCGGAAACCCTGTTGCACAAAACCCCTAACCCGAAACCGTGAAACCGACTCGCCATATTCACTACAGTAATCATGGCACGGATTGTGGCTTGCCACAGGATGTCGTCTCGGGCTTGAAACGGGCATACCAGATCGTCAGGTTGATGGAAGTATGGTTACACTATACCCTAAACCCGAAACCTGATAGCCTTCTAGCCATAGTGCCATAGTCATAGTACGGATTGTAACTTGCCACAGGATGTCGTCTCGGGTTTGTCACGGCAGGTTGACGGCAGTATGGCTACACTATACCCTACACCCTGGTTTAAGCCCAGACTCTGCCGATCAGCTGAGAAGCAGCCTGAACCTTAAACCCGAAACCCCCTTTGTGGGTTACCCTTAAAAATAGTGCCGTACTATAACAAGGACCCAAAAAGGGACTCCAATATTGCCAGCCCCCTACATTACTCATCGTGCGGATTGCGGCCTTCCACCTGCGAGTTCAAGATCCGGAAAGTTGAATCTACAAATCCTCATCCCTGTCAAGCAACTTCAGCGGCTTTGTACCTTCCGTCCCAGTATTTTAGGGCTGAGGGTCTAGGGATTAAATTTCAGGGGTATCGGCCTGCTGCAGAAAGGACTTGAGGAGTTAGGGGCCTCCGAATTCAGAGTTTCGTCTTGGAGATGCACCTTCGGGCCCATTTTCGGAGCTTCTGAGCCTCCTATAAACCCCTCCCCCAGACCCTGATCCCACTAAATGCTAAACCCCAAACCCTTAACCCAAAACCCCTAAAGCCCTAAACCCTGATCCCACAAAACCTGCGAGCGAGGGGCCATAGCTAGCTTCATGAAACTCACGATTGAAAGCCACACGATGAGTTGCTTCACGTACATGATCACCTGCTTCGGTCGGTTTGGGGTTTCGGGCGTACCCATAGGCCCCAAAGTAGTTCCTTTTGGGGAGTATATACCTTATAGGATTCTATATGTGAACCCCAACAAGGAACTACTTTGGGGCCTTTGGGTAGAATTTTCTTTGAAGTTTAGTTTACGCTCTCGCAACTCGGACACTGCCAGACGAGGTTCTTGGTGCGCACAGTCAGACTAAGAGCTTCACTCAACTCCTTAGTGAAAACAAGGCAACAGAAGTTAGAGCCATAGAGTACAGGAGATGAGCAAAGCCGTTTAGGGTTTAGGGTTTAGGGTTTCGACACGCGCACTCGCACGAGGTAGCCCTGGCTTGAAGAGAGTCCTTGGTTTAGGGCTTGGGGGCCTCAATATTTAGAACAGGGTGTCGCGGTAAGTTACATGCAGTAGAATATAAGGAGTCCGAAGAGATGATCATATCACTCAACCTTCGGGTTATGTCGCCTTGTGTTTAGGACAGGGTTCGGCGGTATATTATGAAACAATAAAATGAGAGAGAATGCTGGTCATCATGTAAACTTCTATACTCCGATGCATCCTTTAGGGGTGCCTCCACGCGGCAAATGATCAGAGACGCCGTCAACAGTCTTACGCCCCACTGTGCCCTGGGCTAGCTAGTACGGAGTTCGGGAGTAGAAGTAGGAGCAGTCGGCTTCCCCGCCAGTAATGGGAATGGAAATGCAGTCATTGCCAGCATTGTGGGTAGTGGGGGGGGTGGGCAGGGCGGCGGGAGCTTAGCGGGGGGGTGAAGTTCTCGCGCTTGTACGAGCACTAGCTCTAGCAGGTGCAGAAACAGGGCGTGTCTACTACACCAAAAGACTTTAGCAAGAAACCTTTTCAGTCGGCCAGAAAGATTCTGCAAAAAGGTCTACAGTCGAGGGAAAGCTACGACGGAGGTCGGAGCACCTACTACATGGGTGGTTGCCAAAATTGGGGTCCCTTTTTGGGTGCCCTAAATATTAGGTGCCGTATTATAATAGGGACCCCAAAAACCCTGATTTTGACAACTACCCAAATGGTCAAGTTGGTGCGGGGGGGAGGGGGGGTAGGACGCCTAGTGCGGAGTTTTCTCATGTGGTCCCCTACTAGAGCAGGTAGTGCGCATGAGGGCGGGGTATCTTCCACCATAAATACGACAACAATATCTGTACTCGTACCAGGACCCTCCTTGTACCCTCAAATAGGGGTATATGGTCCCAAATAAGGGGCATTTAGGGTCTAATAGAGGGTAGATGGAGGGCCTAGGTATGTGGACCAGATGACTGGTCTATATAGCGGTGATACTTCGAGCAGGATTTTAAGGCCTCCAAGAACCAAAACTTCAGCTCTTGACTGAAAGCTCCAAACTCGCCGAAAACCTCTATTTCTTGGGCAGCGACTGCAATGCCCTAAGCCCTGAAACCCCGAAAGCTCTAAACCCCTAAATGTTCAAAGCCTTAGATTGTGCCTGTAATCTCTGTATTCCCTCGTCACGCATCTAGACCAGGGATTCGGGCTTTCATAACTCAATCATGTCTGGCTGCTCTCTTGCTTCAGTCCGAATACCCACAACCTGAAGCGCAAAGCATGCCTGCCTAAATACGAGGCATAGAATGCCCTCCCGGATTGCCTGAAACTCTCCATTTCGCCAATAGTTTCCACTGCGGAAGTCCTGACCGATCAGTTTTGGGGGCCGACGCGAAGCGCTTAATTTTGCACAAAACGCCCCCAAACCTCCTCACACTCCCATATGGGAGTTTCCGAAAAGAAGGGGTACCTTATTTTGGGGGTCCTTATAATAAGGAGCCTACTATCTCGGGTACTATAGTCGGGTCCCTTATTTTCGGAAACTCCCATATAAGCTCCCACAATTCGTACCTACAAGCCCCAAAACCTCAGCGAGTCTAGCGCAAACACCCGAACCATCAACCCGATTACAGAGCTGGAAATTCTAGAAACCCTGTTCAAAAACCTATAGTGCTGCTATAGTATAGGTGCCTTAATGATAATTAGACTAGGGTTTTTGGCGTAACTTAGTATAAGTATAGTATAATATGCTCCACATCCCTATACTAATTAGGCCCCTACAGTAGGCTACAGCGCCTAGGAACCCGAAACCTTCGTCCTGCCCACCCTCTCCGAGCAGCATGTCCAATGCTTCGGTCAAGATCCGGAGTAACATGTACTCCACCCAGACCTCCAGGTTTAGGGTTTAGGGTTTATGGGGTTCGGGTTTAAACCCGAAGCCCTAAATCCTGGACCTTGAAATTCACTTTTTAAAATTTTGAGGGGGTCGAATCAAAAAGCCATAACCCTTCTTGAGTCACCGTCTGGGGCAGGCACGTTTCGGGACATATAACTTCGACGCAAAACGATGAAGGCAGGTGTTTTCGCTAGGCCCTAATTCCGGGCTGTGCCGGAGACAAACCCGCTTATACTACTATTTTATACCTTCAAGTACCTAAGTAAGAACCCCTCTAAGGCCCTATATACGTATATAAAGTACAGGCAGGCTTGGGGCTCTTTCGAGACCCGAGAAGGAAACGCGAGGTGGAGACTGTTCACATGCGGGCAGCGGGGTCAGACTCGGTCCTCTAACACCCAAACTGTTCAAACTGAACTCACATAAAGAACCCTAACCTAGGCCCTCCATCTACCCTCTATTAGACCCTAAATGCCCCTTATTTGGGACCATATACCCCTATTTGAGGGTACAAGGAGGGTCCAGGAGTAATTCCTAATACTGACACGACAAGGCTTCTCAATCAGGTTCCTATACTAAATCGTCACCAGTAGCCACTGCAACGATGCCCGGACAACACCCAGAATCCCAAAGCGAGCCACAAGAGAAACAACACGCCCCGCCCCGAGGGTGGTGTCCAGCATGATGTTCAGCCAGTACCTGGCAGCTAGCGGCCTCCAGATGTTAAGCCTTGCGCCCAGCCTCGTGCGACTAGCTCAACGAGTACCAGGACCCTCCTTGTACCCTCAAATAGGGGTATATGGTCCCAAATAAGGGTTATTTAGGGTCTAATATTAGGGTCTAATAGAGGGTACATGGAGGGCCTAGGTAAGGTGGCAACAACTGGGCCAGATGCCCCAACCACGATGAGGTTTCGAGCTTTTGAGCTACATGCAGCGCCAGGCTATGGTATCCGAAGTGCTGACCAACACAGGGCACCACTCGCACTCATCTCCTTCACTCATGTGGGTGCCCATGATGGTGGCGCACCTGGGCTAGATAGTTGGGCTATGATGATGATGGTGCTGACCACGGTGATGACTCAATGGTGACGACGACTATGATGATAAGTCGCCTGCCTGAAACATAGCTTGGTGCCGAGTCTTGAGGCTGAGTTTGCACGCAGCTGAACTCTGCTGGAACTCTGAACGGTTCAGTGCTCAGTGTTCGAACGTGAAAAGGGAATAGCAATCCAGAACCGAGCTCCTCTGAGAGTCTAAGTGAATCATGCTATGATGTTGTGGTCTCCCTTAACTATTACGTCTCACCCGGGTCAAACGCCACTAGTACTGTCACCATTGGCAGTCATCGTAGCTATCACGAATCCTAGGAAGTGGTTGTTGGCAATGGCTGTATCGCGGAGGCAGGAACTTTGCGACAGAGAAGGCTCCACTACTGCAAACCCGAAATATGCCAACATTTTCAAGACAAGTAATTCGACTCTGCTTGAAATGGTCGCGGCTTTGCACTGCACAGGGGGGGAAGTTTCCAAACGAATGAGGATTCCTGGTACCTGCGAGAGTCAGCTAATGTAGCAACTTGACTAAGACATCATGATTCCAAACAGCAGCTGCTTTGCTGCTGGCAGTTGATAGTTAGTGTGCGTGAGCTCATGCTCATGACCAGAATGTTTCTAATGCACCTGCATGACGGACAGTTTAGGACGTGTCACAGGACGAAAGTTGGAAGGTTAATGGCTTGTTCACGTGATAGTCAAACGCAGTAGCAAAATTAAATTGAGCCACGGCTTGCGGGGCCGTGATTACATTCACTGTCGCCTCAGACAGCATCCCGTAAACCCTAAACCCTAAGCCCTGATCTGCAAAAAGGCTTCCCCGATGGACTGCAGCCGGGCATCAAAAGGTTCATCACATGAATCCATCCTTCACGGTTTAGGGTTTTGGGTATTTTCCTCGCCCCCGCCGGCACGGTTTCGAAAGCCTGCAACGTAAACCCAAACATTCTTCGCGTATTCCTCGGATTCGACTTCGTTTCAGGCAGAATCCCACGCCAAGGCCGCACTCAGCGTTGTGGGTTCGGACTAACTAGAATGCCTTCTTTAATGATGTTGCTCTTTGGTTTCAACTAATTTCTAGAAAGGTTTTCATACGGGTTCCTCCCACACGGGTTTATACAAGGTTTTACAAGGGTTTTGGGTTGCGGAAGTGTTCTCGCACAGCGGAGCCTCCGACGACAGCGATCTAAAGCACTGAGGCATATATATATATATATATATACATATACATATATATATATATATATATATATCCCAAAGCCCTAAAGCCGAAACCCCAAACCTTGAAGCCCTAAGGCCATCTGAGCACAACCCTGGCACAAGCCGACATCCGAGCAGAACCCGAGGACACTACATGCGAAAACCCCAAGCAACCCCGAAAACCTTGACCTTAAGCTCCCGTTTCCCTAAGGGTACCCGACAAGGCATCCTTCATGGTTTCCTTTAAAGGTTCCTTTGAGGGTCTACTATAAGGGTTCTATGGGCTTTAGGGTTTAAGGGTAAATGTGCCCAAATAGTATATACTTTGGCCAGAAAGTGCCAACATAGGGACTACTTTATGGCCGCTGTATATACTATTTGGGTACATGGATCCTCAGGGTTTTCCAGGCCTGCACCCAAGAACTGCTTCGAGGAATCCAAGCCAAACTGGAACCAGGTCCGTCGCGGCCCCTCTCGGACCTCTCGGAGGTTGTCATACGATTGATGATATCAATCCTGCATTAGGACCCTAAACTATGGGAATTATAGTACATTCCTTATTATGGGTAATGCAGGATGTATATCATCAACCGTAGTTGCTGAGTTCATAATCCGCAAAAAGGTGTACAAATTTAGTTTATAGTGCGGAATATTATCCCAACAAGTGTATCCACTCAGCTACTAAGGGGTTCCTTGACAGGGATCTCTCCAGGTTCCATGAGAGGCATCTATGAAATCGATGAATGCGTCCTTTGACGGGTCCCTTAAAAGGGTTCCGTTGAGGCTGCCATAAGGGTTTCTCTCGGGGTTCAAAGTTCAGGGTTGCGGGGTTCCACACGCGCTACTCAAAGGGATTGTGGCTTAGTGTTGCCTAGGTCTCGGGCCCTGTGGGACCTCTCTAAAAGATCCGAATGTAGGCGCCTTGATCATCAAAACGGGATTTTTGTATCTGATATACTATCAGTATAAGTATTATAATAGGGAGCCCGAACCCGAAAGGATCATATTGCTTCTTGCTGCTCCTAATCATGAAACAAGTTATCCCACATTCTAGGGTCTGTCGCCCTTATAGAAACTTGCACAAGACCCTTGTGAAGACCCCTGAAGTAAGCCACAGGATCCCTTTCGTGGTTACCTTTAAAGGGGTCCTTAAGGGGATACTATAAGGGATCTATAAGGGTACTATAATATAGGGGCCCTAACATTAGAGAATAGGGTCCCTTGCGGTTTAGGGTTTGGGTTTCGGTTTTTGGCAGCACAATCAAGGTGAGCTCCGTGATGGGGCTCTGGGATGTTTTGGGTTTCCCTTGTCCAAGGCCCTACTACAGGGAACTCCAGAAAGTTGGAATATGGATTAATGGTAGGATCCCCCATAATTTACCTTAAAGGGCTTAGGATAATCATATTCCAACTTTCTGGCTTCTACTTTATTCATATACTCTCCCAACTATATAGTAACCTACTTAACTACTTTAAAACTGTTTGGGGTTGTCGGGATGTGCAGAGGTGCGCCAGTGAATCGACGAGATCATAAGCTCGAAATACACCCTAAACCCTAAACCACCCTAAACCACACCTTCAAGGTTTGAAGGCTTGGAGCCCCCCCCGAGATGTTGAAGTCCTTTTCATGCTCTCTCGGACTGAAAAAGCCCTCCGAGGGCTTAGGTTTTTGTTTTAGGGATTAGGGTTCCTTTAACTAAGGGTACTACTAGGGTTCCGTTAAAGGGATCTATAAGGATTTTAGATAATATGTTGCCTCATTTCAACGTGCAGCATGCAGGTTGCGGGGATTAGTTAAACACCGTGCCCTAGCCGGCTTCGTCCTCCCGGTCTGCATGCCCGATGTCCCAGGAGCTACCATCACCATGTTTGTGTACAGTCAGTGACTACAAGGGCGGGGTTTTCCGTAAACCGAAATGCCCTGGACCCCAAACTTTCAGGCTCGGGGCATAGGTTTGAGGGGCGCTGGGAGGGTACTGTGGGCTTCCATTAAGTAGAAACTGAAGGTTTCGGCGCTGCGGGTCTAAATCGGTTAAGGGCCTTGGAGCTCAGGGTGGGTTTTGCGTAGTTTCAATCGGAGCGGCAAGTAGAGTGGTAGTGTGCGAAATCAGCTCCACCACGCCTTCTTCACGACGAGTGTGCCGACGCAGCAGCAGAACAACAAGAACTGCACCTCGGACTCAGCAGACATGATTGACTATTGTGAGGCACTATACGCGTAGCGTCCCGAACAAGGTCGCCCGAGATTGCGTTTTGGCTCGCCAGTTGGTTCTAACTCAGTCTAAAAGTGAGATCCACTCAATTCAACGATTCCGAATCTACTTGGAAGGTATCCCTCTCTATACCTAGATTCGGGGGCGGGGGCCTTGTGGCATAAATTTCGACTTCGGGACCGCCAGCTTATGTTACGTATGCTGCATTAAAGACCTCTGATTGGCATTATGTTCCCCTTGTGCAAACCTGAATCTATGTTAAAATCGGGTTTAGGGTCGGGACTTTGGGTTGGCCAAAAAAATTGTTTTGTCTGTAGCAGTCGAAGCAGGACCTCAACGGAATCTCGGACCCCGAGGAAGGCATGATGAGGCTAAGGCTTAAGTTTGCAGCTTTTAGCCACAGACTTCGGGCGGTAGGGCTGAAGATCTAAACAAATCCTGGGGCATGAGCTGAAGCTTCAGGCCTTCTTTTGAAACAGCCCGATGACCCGTACAACAGCTCCACCGCCCCTTCTATCCGAACTTCAAACCCTGAGACCCCTTAAAACATAAACCACAATCCCAAACTCCCTAACCCGAATCCCTCAACCATCTCGCATGAACCCTGTAGAAACCGAAGAACCAAGATAAAGCCTGAGCCTAAACTTATGATATCGAACCTCGGCCGCTGAACCCGAAGCCCTCATCTCTGCGACCCTACTCCAACTCCCTAACTCCGCTTACTCCCTCACTTAGCACACGGATCCATCAAACCCAACCTGTGCCCACAACCGCCCCCCAAAAGAACCGAGTCTGCTGCAAGAACCCCCTGGAGGCCGGGAAGCACGATGCAATCTTTCATCCGCTCTTCTACGAGTTTGGGCATCGGTGTGTCAAGAGCTGGGACCTACTTATGAGGACCCGAAGTGCGAACACCGTAGCTGAGACTTGGCTTGTAGCATATTCAGGAATCAGCTTTGTTTTCAGACTTGATTGCCTCGTGGGTTAAGGGCACTATAAAGTGTTGAGGCCTCACCACCCTACGACCTGTAGTTTCCTGGGCTTTCAAGGATTGCGGCTTTCAGGGGATAGTACCGATCATAAGAGTACTGTGGGGTTAGGCGGCGCTATGAAACAGTATCGCTACTTCTTCCGGGCCCTGTATTGAACCTTCAGCCTTCGAACCTGAACTTCCGGATGGCAAGGATCCTACCCAGACCTTCCAAAATCCCGTAATTAAGGAATATACCCTTAAATCATATTAGGGATCCTATTATAGTTTAAGGTAATATTCCTTAATTAAGGGATTTTGGAAGGTCTGGGTACCACGGGGATCAGGAAGAATTGACGAAACCTCTTCGAAACTAGTGTTTGGCGTGCTTATAAGGCTGTCGAATTCTACAATCTCGCAACCAGCGAGCCCGAAAACGAACCCACACCCCGAAGCTCGTCAACCTAAAAGGCCGGGTCTCTAAGAGCCGTGGAAAGACAAGACCGTGCTGAGAGCCGCTAAGCCGGCAAAGATCGGTCAGGGGCCAGGATTGTTGGGGGTGGAGGAGGGGTTGCGGCCTTTAAATGCCCCTGAAAGGATTTCGTGGGATGTTTCAAGGGTTCATGCAAGGGCCTATCAAAAGGAGTCCCTTGAGGGTTCCTCTTAAGGGGTCTTATCGAATCCTCACAGGATTCCTTCAAGGCTGTGAGGGATTTATAGGAGCCTGTTAAGGGTTCCTTTAAGGGATCTGCAGGGGTTCCTTCCCTTTTAGGGATCTATACTGGTTCCCTTGTGGCAACCTGGCTACAGAAGAAGCCGTTGAAGCCAACCTAAACACAGATTCGGGCTCAGGGTTTAGAGAGTTTAAGGCTCAGGGGTGTCTGAGTCAGACTCCCTAAGCCCTACACCCCTGAAGACGGTATCAAGTTGCTGACATGCTTCTGAGCTTCACGGCTCTACACGTTTAGCATAGAAGCCTTCATAATAAATAACAAATGGGGCTCCTATAAGGATTCCCTTTAAAGGCGTCCGCCTGAAGGCGGCGGGGGCGAGCCTTAATACTTAGAATAAGGTTGGGGGCGACATGTACTATACTGTAAGTATAATAAGGAAACCCAAAACTTTCACCATATTCTATTTGTTAAGGCTGCTACATTGCTCAGCCTTTCATTGAACCCTCACCCCCGTTTTGCCCGAAATCCTTCGGGCAGTTCTGAATAGGTTTTCTTGTAACCCAGAAGAGCATTTTGGGTAGTATAGCGATGAATGGACTACAGGTAAATACTATGTACTAGCAGCAATCATGCAGACCCCTATGTAATTCAGATTTGGCAAAACTATAACTGCAACTATGGGTACAAGACAGTGAAGGCTAAGAAATGACTCAGATTTCCTGCACATGATATGACAAAGCTCTTTCTTTGGTTTGGGGACATTAGGGGTATATGGCTATTTTCGGGGTGCATGCCTAGTTTGGCGTTGCTTGTGTTGGTGCTTCATAGGAGTTCCCGACAAACGGAGCCTACAAACCGTAATTAGAACACCCATTGCGTTACAGCAGCGGCTTCAAGGCACCTTTTTCAGGCTACCACGTGTTCAGGTCCGAGGAATCAGAGATCAGGTTCGGGCCTTGTGGGGCTTCAAGGCCTCAAAAGAGGGTTGGGGTTTAGGGTGCAAGAACTCCTCAGCCCAAAACCCCAGCAACTCTTACAACCTAAAACCTCATCCCCTAAACTCCTAAACCTTCTGGTCGGACTTCGGATCCCGGATATGGGGGGTGGCCCCGCCCTAACCAGGCTAAGGACTCAACGCCAAACCTTCATATCGGGGCCTGAATAAGTAGAATGGCGTCGCTTTAAGGGTTCCTTCACAGGAACTCTACAGGAATTCTCATCGGGCCGCCAGAGTTGACAATTGTAGGATGAGTATCTTATGTTCTAGCTTTCTAACATACAGTAGAAGCCAGAAAGTTGGAATATCATTATCGTAACCCCTATAAGGTAAACTATAGGGGATCCTACCATTAATCCATATTCCAACTTTCTGGAGTTCCTTTTAAGTCAGAGGGATACTATGAACTCACCTGACCTCTAGTCCGAACCAAAGCCCTCAACTTGAGGAGCCCTCCTGTTTCTGAAACCACGCGACAAAACAGGACCCAAACAACCACACAACGAACCGACCTCCTGGGATTCGGAGGGGGCAGGGAGGGGGAGGATCCAGAGTTTCGGCGCTCGCACTTGGATTTCGAGTTTCGGGCTTAGGGACTGTACTACAGACAGCTTTCGGTGGTTCCCCTGCCAGTTGAAGAGGAGGTTTTGAGGCCCTGATCGCAGCAGTCTCAGAAGTCGTTGAAGAAGTTTCGGTAGAAGTACACCTCAGTTCCCAAGAAAACTGAACTTCTCCCGCATTTGAACAGGGAGTGTTGAGCTAGCAGGTAAGCAGACCCTCTCCCGACGCCAACACCCCAGACACTACACACTAACAACCTACCGGTGTCAATTATCCAGGACGCTGGGAAGCACGGTCGCGCAGTCTGAACGCAGTCTGAACTTCCCATCGAAGGTAGCTGTCAAGAATTGTCAAGACACACACTCAGGTGCATCGTCGCGGACAAGAACGGCTCTCTGCTCGGCGTCATGCAGGAGGTACCGTGCCTACCGGGAAGAAGAGGTGAGCTACTGTTGCTATCTTACAACATATGGGTAGTTCTCTAATTTAGGGTCCCTCTTCGTGTGCGTTTTATGGGACTTAGACAGGGACCCAACGTTAGACAGCTACCCACATGGTTTGGCTCATGCGACTGACAGACTGAAGTGAAGCTCGATCCATCCTCAGCAGAACCAACTTGCGCCCCGAACGCACCAGGGCGTCCTTGATGGAGGCCAAGGGCCCCGCCAAACGCTGAACTAAACTCCGATTCCGAAGAGCCATGTCGCCGGCCTCAGGAAAAACAGTGAACCCAAGAGCCTCCAAACCTGCAAGCGCCAAGGCTCCGTGGCCTCCATAGGCCTAAATCCTTCGTGGGAGGGGCCCCTAATATAGTACCCTACATAGTAGGATCCTTAACATAAGGACCCCAAATAAGGTAGCCCTAATTTTCGGAAAGTCCTATATTACTATAACGCCTCCTAGGACAGCACCTCCTGTAAACTCCTGACATCTTCTCCCAACAACCCAACCCTCGCCTGAGCCTGAAGCCTTTCTGCACGACACTTACCGTTGGTTAGTAGGGAATGGAAGAATTGTGGTAATAGTAGTCATAATTATGTCCCATTCCTCCATTCCCTAATAACCAAGGTAAGTACAATGCAAGGCGGGGGGCCCTAATTTATGCAAGCCCCAGCAACTTCTTCATCTGCTTCGGGACCCCAGAAAGGGGGGGGTTAATTTATGCAAGCCCCAGCAACTTCTTGATCTGCTTCTGGAGCCCATGCAAGCAATCGCTTAACTGTTCGATCCGGTCGCTGGACCCGGCTCAGTATCTTACAACCATAGCTTGCTCATCAGCAATCGCAGCTGCTACTTGTAGGGTTCGTTAGCTGTTTTTTTCTAAATGTCTGCCCATTCGAAGGGTTTAGGGTTTGGTCGTTGTGCATGCTGCCACGCTATCTGCAGACTCAAATCTTCTGTTGCTTAGCTGTGGCCCATGTCGATGTCATCGTCCGGCCTGCTAGGATGGTAGGAGCCGTAGGGGCCTTATTCAAAACAGGGTTTCGGGGGTGGTGGTATACTATGCCACGAGCAACACTCTCGGGTCCGCCCTGAAACTTAAACCCTAAACGCCTAAACCCCAAACTCCGAAATCCTAAACTCCTAAACCCTAAACCGATAGTAGGGATATGTTCGACCCACACCTCCGCAGCGGTGATCTTCAGCTCTGTAGCCACACGAAAGGCAGACAAAGGCCCTTCCTGGAGACGGTTCTTTTTCCCTCTCGCGAGATCTGACACTCGGTTCAGGGTCTGGCCTGTAAGGTTTGGGGCTTGTGGTTAAGGGTTTAGGTTTGGGTTTTGCGTTGAGTTAGTTGCACACGGCCGTTGAAGTCAGACGCGAAAAGAAGACAGATCGAGTGCTTCGTACATTTCGATTGGATGTTGAGGTCGGTTTGTAGCCGGCAATGTTTTGCGATCCCCCACCCCGCCCAAACCTTATCCTTCTAGACCCAAACTTAGTTAGGCCCGCGTCTACATGGGAATAACGTCGTACTTCATTGGGGCTCCCTCTTTGAAACCTGTCCGCCCTGAACAGGAAACCGGCTGCAAACCGTCACATTGAGGATTGAGATTCAGCCAATGATACGACCCAGTGACACTACGACAAGCGACTCAGGGCGTGTGCTCTTAGATTATGCTTCCTCCTTGTGCATAAAGGGGCCCTGCTGACTAAACTAGGGTTTTGGGGGGTCAAATCCGATATAGCTGTCAAGGGGCTGAAACTGAGGGGCTGAGTACGTACCCTAGCCCAAACAAGATTATAAACCTTCTCAGTTATGATGTGATTCTATGAACCTCAAAAGGTCGCGGGTTACCTACTCAGATACTAAGACAAGGATGTTGGCTTTGCTATCAATACTATGGGTTCGATGACTATGTGGAACCGTGTCGAAGTGACACCGACAACCCGAAAGATTACCCCCATACACTACAACTGGCTCTGAAGGTGACGCTGCAAAGTCGAGAGTGAGCTACGGAGGGAGGCTACCAGCTCTGCCGCACCCTGGGAACTGCAGCTTGAGACTGTCACTACGTTTCTAAGCTTTGGAGCTTCTAATTCATTGTCGGGACAGGATTAAAAATATTCGTTTTTATTCCTTATTGGGTTTAAGTACCCGTAAAAATCCAAAATGTTACCCAACTATGACAAAGGCTTAAAGGGCTTACGGTCTCGCAACT